GGGGCAGGAGATGCTGGAAATGCTGCTGGAAAGAGTGGACGGGCGCTCAATGTGGTGACGACCGGGAAGGAGACGATGACGATGACGATGGCGGTTAGGGAGGAGACGGCGATGACGATGATGATGTCGGTAATGGAGGAGACGAAGATGACGCCGAGAGAGAAAGAAACGAAGATAATGACGGCGTAGGAGGAGACAATGATTATGACAAGGAAAGAATACAATAAGTGAAAAAGACGAAGACATAGAACAATACTAACAAATAGAAAAGAATAAGGAGCAGGAAACGTGTTGTTTTTTGAATATTCTGTTGAAAAATCTAGGAGTGAAAATGGTGCTCATAGCAGCATAGGTTGTCAGCTGTGACGATAGTTTTAGTTCCTGAAGAAGCTAATATCTCCAGATATAGTAGATAATGGCCATTCCACAGGATATATAACTAATAGTAGCAATGAAAATTGTAGTTTGGAGGTTTTAGTAATAGCGCTGACGATATTAGTGCTAATGAGGCAGATAGTAATAGCGGTGATTCTATTAGTGTTGATGGTGTTGCTGACAATGTTGTGATGTTGGTTGTGATGTGTGTACCTGGCAGGTGACAACCTACAATTGCGGACTTATCAGTATTCCGTCAGTCATGTCATTGTCTTCCTCAGGGCTGAAATGAAGGTCGAGTGACATCGCAGATAATGGTTTGAGGTTAATTGTGTTGGTGAAGGCTTCCGCGGCCAGAGTCATGTGCGTGATCTGGACTGTTCGGGTGACGCCGCGTCGAAGGCTGCGTTGCCGACGTTTCGACCATCTTGTCGTGGGCTTCCTCAGAACTGGTATACCTACCAGATGGTCGAAACAGCCTTCGACGCGGCGTTACACGGACAGCCCAGATCACGTAATTGTGTTGGTGATGAGTTTATTTTGAAGGTGATGATAATTATTCTGGTCATGGCAACTGAGCTACTGGTGATTGTCGGTGGCGGTGATGTGGTGGTGTAACGTTGGTGGTGAAGGTGTGGTGGAGATATTGGTACTGCTGATGGAGGTAAAGGTTGTATCGTCTGCAGCGGTCTCTCAAGCGACGCCAGAGCCATTGCCAATAACGGCGCTGTCACCGTTGTTCGTCGGCGAAGGGTTTCATAGAGTCGCTCGCTTCGAAATGTGTACAAAGCGAACCCTTGAAAGCGACCCAACGACGCTAACTTAGCGGCCCCTGCCGCTATACTAGAGCGTTTCACGGGACTCCTTTGATTCGTGCAACTCCATTATGGGAAGTTTCTTGCGGGAGCTCTTTCGCTCAGAAAAGAAATGGGACTGGACGAAACGGTTACAGGGTCCACGCAAAAAGAATAATTTGTTCTAAGAGCGAAGTGTTCCCCCAGTGCAAATGGAAGGACAGGTGGGACAGAGAAATAAGGCTCTTATGTATCATTGCTTCTCCAGACGAAGTCTTGAAGTCACAATAAAAAATATTTTGATAACGATATCAAACTAGAACATTTTCGAAATTAAATAATTATAACTTCTTAGTTTAAAGCGTATAATAGAATTGCTTAAGTTTAAAATGTCTAGACCGCTGTACGGAAATGTGTATTGAAAGAAGAATGTCGTGATGCGAGTCAGGTAAATAAGTTGGCTATATCTCCCATGTCTTATCTTCTCCTTGGACGAATAGTTATACGTCTCTAAGTTAATAAACTAAGAAGAAGAAACTAAGAATTAAGAAGTTAATAAACTTTGGCTTAGAGAGATCTCTAATTTTTGAAGGGTGACAAGATTTTAATGTAATCCTGAAGGTGGACATGTCGTGTAAAATTATTCAAGCTAGTACATCTGTTTTTATTCAGGAGAGGGAGAGACGGAGGCATAGAGAAGAATATTTACAGAAAAGGAATATTTACAGAATTTACAAGAAAGAGAGAAGGAACGAGGAATGAAGGGAGTCGAGCAATCGCATAATAGTAGTACTGTAGAGAAAGAGTGAAGTTTTAAAGTGACGGTTATTTTATTTTTGGATAGGTATAATATAATAGTATTGCAGGGAAATATTTGAGTAGCTATACAATAGTATTATTGCTGTATTATAGGATGACGTGTCGAATGATACATTCATTCAAATAATTTGAAATTTATTCAATGAAATTCAATTTGAATCAATGAACCAAAAGAATCGTGCCTCTGTAAATTTCCGATTTACCTCGGCTGCTCCCGTCTCAACCCTGTGGTTGTTAGTGCTCCCGTCATTATTGTTTTCATTGGAAGTTATCACTTGCCAAGTAAACAGAGCTCGGCTGGATCTTTGGCGTCAGGTTGTGAAATTTCGGGATCGAAATTGAATCGCGCACCACTAGCCGCGACGACGTCAAGAGGTGATATCCACTATTTTGGGACAGCTTGGACAGAAGTTTCAGAACGCACACGGCGAAAATAAGCGACATGTAATATATATTACATACATACAGCCATAAAGCAGAGATCAAAATTGTACGTCACAAGAATTACCGAGACAAGAAGGCCGAGAGACTTGTCTCAGGGCATCAACTGATATCACTGCAATGCCTCTGACCAGGCGGTCCTAGGTGGCAGGATTTTCGACACTACTCAAATATTTAGGACGAGTTCTGTCGCTGTTTGGAGAGAATTCTAGAGTTCAGCTGGTAGTTCACCTTGGTTTCTCCGACAAATAACAGGCGAATGCTGGAGGAGTACTCTAACAAATGGGGCACGGACCGCCCGCGACGTTTCCTTGCTCTTCCGTGTCCTATCCTCAAACCCTTACTTACACACTCTTACACTTACATGTATAAAATATCCCATTGCATAAAATATAAATATTTATTTATGTTTAGTAATAGCCGATATTACATATTTATGTGCATTGCATGAACCATTTATTCAATTTCCTTCCATTCCTTTACCTGGAGACGTGGGAATTTGGATAGGGGCATTTTGCCACGTTTCGGCACTCCCTGGCTCTGTGCTAACAATCAGAGCACGGAACGCGCGCGACCTTTCCTTGCTCTTCCTTTCCCTATCCTCAACCCTACTTACACCCTCTTACACTTACATGTTCTACACTACCACACTTGCCGGTCAGGAGCTTAGAGCTCGTCCTGACCGGAACGATTTCCAGCTGGTGGGAGAATCCCGTAAGGTAGGTCGCCGCCGGATCTCACCATCCAGCGGGGAAAGATAACCGCCATCTCTCGAGGAAATCATAATGTACACTTACGGGACTAATGATCTTAGCAGTTGACGCGCACGGAATGATTAGTAATCAACCAATCAATCACTCAATCATTACAAGACGTAGTGGCCAAACTCACTCAAGAACGATTGTATCTTTCTTTCCTGTATCCGCTTTTAAGCGAGCTGAATGTACCGTTCTTTGAGGCAGCACAGTTACATTCTAAGCTGGTCCACAAAAGTGGAAATCAACTATCGGTGGATGCACTAACCATCAGGGCTCCAAATGTGCACGAGAAAGTTAAAAGGTGGAAATAAGAAGTTAAAAGAATAAGTATAAATGGCATTTGTCAGACTATTACTCGAATACGCCGCGAGCTGTTGGGTCAAGTATAGATCTGGGGATGATATATAGATCTGGGAAAATACAGAGTATTGAACACGTTCAGAAAGAAGCAGCTAAGTTTGTGGTATGCTGAAAAAATAAAAATATGGACGTAAAATCTACTCTTGGGTAGGAAACAAAGAAAAGGCGAAGGAATCTAAGACTGTTGGCAATGCATTTTTGGGAAAAGACAAAGTTTGTGAAGAATTTCGAAGCAAGCTAGAAAAAGCTTCGTATTCGGGCAAAAATGACCACAAGTGTAAACTTCAAGAGCAAAAGTAATAAACAGATGAATGAAACTTTTCATTGATGAATAGAACGGTGTGAAATGGGAATACCTTTCCTGCAGCACTGTTTCAACATCATTCGTTTACTTATTTAAAAATAATTTAAATAACTAATATTGTATGGGAGTGATATTGTTTAAAAGTAATATCTAAAATGTAAATAAATATTTTATTGCCATTTTCCAATACCACGTCTATAGACAGAAGAAAAGTATAAGAATCCATAGTATATTATTTTGTGCTATCAGTAATGTACTTAATTATTTAATTGTACTATTTACTAAACTTTCCCTTCATTGAATCAACATTTTGAACACTTTTTGTTTTATTCTGTATTGTGTTGCAAACTGCAAGACCTCAAAAACGTTTTTCTAAAACGTGGGCATTCTCTATATCTTTCGACCTCCTCAATTCGTAATGATCCTCAAAATATCGTATCACCCAAGGTTTTCACATAACTATATATATAGTATATATATATTATATTATATTAATATATATATATGTATATATAAAGTGGTATGGATACACACGAAAACGCCACAACAAACTCAGAAGCGACGTCATGCCCATTTCGGAGCGAAAGTAGGCAAGATCAGAAAACTATGGGCTCCAAGCTGTGTTTGTGTGTGTGTGTGTGTGTGTGTGTGTGTGTGTGTGTGTGTGTGTGTGTGAGTGAGTGTGAGTGTGTGTGTGTAGAAGATTTACGACAGTGGTAATTAGGAAAGAAGTTACGATTTGGTATCCTTAAGATTTAGCGGGAACAACAGACTCATACCGATAACTGCCTTTTACATTCCTATATACGTACGTATATACGGAGTAATACACGAAGTATAGGGAAGGTAAGTAATGCTGTGGTAAATCAATTTCGAGATTTCAACGGAAGTACACTTTTTGGATGCCCTGAAACCGAAAAAGTAGATGTTTTCAAGACCTCCATCCGTCTTTCTAGTTTATGTGGACAACACTGTCGGCTAAACCATGGGTAGGAGGGTTTTTTTTTTTTTTCAAATTGAAAAAACCCCTGTCGATTTGGCCGATTTTCAAAATTTTCTCAAAAAATGATTCAAATCTTTTCTTTTAATATCTTGTAAGAAAAGAAAAAATATACTTATGACGGTGGCATAGGTCCGATTTTCACAGTTAACACAGAAATTTCAAAAATTTTAAAGTTTCAGATTTTTTCCGGGCCTACCTACAATCACAAAATGCTGTAACAGTTAATGAACACCTGTAATTAATACCAATTCCAACACCTTTCTTTTAATAGCTTACTTTAAGTACGTCTGAAGGACCATTATGTTTGGAGGTATACATTCATACATGCATCCTGGTATGGAGTGATTGCTGGAAATGTTGCCATTTGCAGGGAAATCAGTAAATCCATAGTGAACTTTTAGACGTGTAATTTTAAAAAACAAAACAACATTACAAATGACAATGAAATGAATCGGCTGTATTCTCTGGTAATATAATGTAATATATGACAGTTATACCGTAATTGTGGTAATTAAAGTTAGTTGAATCAAAATAAAAGGAGGCATCCATTTAAATTGTGCTAGACAATGTCACAAAACTGAATACAGTTCCCCCTGTTCATAATCTGAAATAAAAGAAATACAAGGAAGAAACATACAATAAAATATGTTAGATGTAGTCTGTGGTAACATGTAGGAGACGTCATAGGCCGAGCGTGGCGTAGACCAGCCGTAACGTAACAGTTGATGCATTAAACCAGGGATGGCATTGAGAGCGCCTGGAGTCATATCCAGATGACTGTCCTATGCCAGACATCTCCCACGCTCGGGATGCAAGAAGATCGAAGCACCTTTATATGGATGCAGTTGGCATTGCAATTAGTGACGCTATAGTGGTGACCAAAAGCACGCACACTAATGCTGCCACAGTTTAAAGTCACGAACACGGGTCAAAAACCGAAATGGTCTGAGATTGAGAGTTCATTCTATCCGGTAGCATTATTTGTGATTACGTATTGAATACATCACAATAAAGAGATTTATTGGTGATTTAAGTGATTACAATCACTCTGAAAAATTTGGCATTAAGTACATGGGTTTATGAGAATGCCAACTCATGCGCGCGTAATGCAGCCATTAGGGAAAAAACAGTTTATAACTTACAGTGGTCGACAGCATGTCACATAACTGAACTTGTGACACACGGCATGATATAATGAATTCACAGACAATTAACACACAACATAACTTTTAAAGTGATGTACAGTTTAAGACCGATAAGACATCACGGCTCGCGCTCTAGAGTGCGTTGAGTGACTGATAATCCGTTGCAGTAAGCGAAACGGACAGCGTGCGCGCCAGTCGATCGTTTTAAGCAATCGAATCCGCACCTTCATTTTTGTTTTACTGAGAGATGAAGTAATGGGAATAATTTTTAATTATGGATATGTATAAACGGAGTAATGTACGTAATTCAGGGAAAGTTATGTAATGCTGCGCAAAATAGATTTCGAGATGACAACGGATACACAAGTTTGTAAATAACACCGAAAAAGTGTTGTTGTTTTTTTCAAAATACCCGTCCGTTTGTCTATTCGTCTGTCTGTGAACACCACTAGTCCCTAAACCATATATACGATTTTTTTTCCAAAATGGATATTCCCCGGTCGATCTGGTTCCGCATCGATCTGGCTCAAGGCCCCGAGACTTTGAACAACTTTCTTCAAAATTTGGAGCTACTTTACACGAAGCCCCCCCCCCCTCCGGACATTTTCAAAGAACGCCTCTTTAAATTTCTTGTAAGAATGGACTAAAATACACGTATAAGGGTGACGTAGCTTCTATTTTCACGGTTAACCCAAAATGTTTGAAACTTGCAGAAGTTTGATTTTTTCGCATCTTCCTATAAGTCAAAAATTGAATATTTAGATTTTTGCTTCAAATGAAGTATGTTCTCCATATTTACGTCTTTCAAGAATATCAAGTACATTTTTTAAAATTTTAGTATTTTTCGCGCAATTCTGCATGCAGTATGTGCAATTATAAAAACTACACCACTAGATTCACTTTCTCTCACTTACGTCGCAAGAATAGAAAGTTGTGTAATTGTGCGACGGAAAAAGTCATATTATTTATAGAAAAACCCTTATTGCTGGACCCTGGTAACGCAAAAGTGGATAAACCCTGTTTGTTTTTAGAGAAAATTACTTCCTCTAAAACAGGGTGTTGCACGAATCTAGGTTTTGTGGGTCCTTGATACCAAAAACTCGATTTACGCCGAAACGTCTGTCTCTCTGTCTGTCCGTCTGCCCGTCCGTCATTTCATCCATCTGCCTGTCCGTCGGTCAGTCCGTCCGTCCATGAGCCCGTCTACCTGTCTTCCTGCCTGCTCGTCTGTGGTCAGTCGTCTATCCGTCTGTCTGTCCGCCCGTGATCTGAACCAACTCTCGGCTTTGGAAGTTTCAACGGATATTTTGATTTTTGAGGGTACTTCCACGTAGCCTATGAAATATTTTCAAACATTTTCTTACAAATGGCTCCACATTTTTTTATTAAACTTTGTCCTCCGATAGTGTAAAGGTCGCAAAAGAAATGATGTAGGTCTTATGTTCGTTGAAATCCATGTTGTTGTTTTTTAAATTGCAAAAATGTCATTTTTTGTGGCGTCTTCCTACAACTATAATAATAATTTTCCCCAATAAAATCTGGTTTTTTGAGATACCTCCAAATAATGTCATGTTCAATATTTTGAAATTACGAGTCGTTTTCTTGAATTTTTTTCGAAATGTAAGCAATTTCAAATTTTTAAGCAATATTTTTTCTCTATAACCGTTCCAAATTTCAAAGAAATGTATTATTTTCTCACAATACGCTCTAAATTCTTTCTTCACTTTTTTCCACGCACTAAAGAATGGACGCTTACAGTAATAGCGTGGCTGACATTTTCGTTGAACTATTTGAATTTTTGCAAATTTAAAATTTTGGAGTGTGAGAAAGTATATGCTGTTGTAGAAAATCTAGTTATTTTTTTATGTTATCCAAACCAACTTTTCGAGCATAAATATCGGTTTATTTAAAAAATGCATTCCATCAAGCAGGACATTTTTTTCGGCGCAAGTTAGATTTTAGGTAAGAAGGATCAGGAGTACGAAAGCGACGATCCGTTTTCACTTGCTTACCTTAATCGTTCGTCAACATTTTTTACACATACAGGACCCCTACGTAGGTATGTTCATTTAGAATTTTCCCGGCGAGTAGTCCCGGCCAGTAGTCCCGCCCGGAAGTCCTGGAAACGTGTGCAAGTCACTGCGATAAAGCGAAAGCCATAAAACGAAAATGATACAAAAATTGCACAGGTAAAATGTCTCTGATTAGAAACGGCAAATGTCATTCTTACATTTCTTTGATGTTCGTGAGTGAAATAATCCCTGTAATTAGCCCTCGAACAACCATTAATATTAAAATCTGTGAACCATTAAATAAATTAATTAACCTGTCTTATATGGAGAAATGTAACGCTCAGAAACCACCAGACGGCGATTTCTCAATAAACGTCTCCGAAATATCTTGAAGCAGGATAAATTCATCGTTAATTAAACATTTTAGAAGTAAATTAACATATTAGCAAAACCGCACATCCCTTCCCATCTTTACCCTTTCCCTTGTTCCAATTTATCAATTTGTATTGTTCAGTACATTTCATATTTAATGAAGGTTCCTCAATGACAATCGTAGTCTTAAATTATCTGACCTTACTATTTGCACTGTAATTTCTAATACACTTTGTATTTTATTTCTAATTTTCCATAAACATCGTGAGTCGTACGTGTCTCTTGCCTGGAAAGCTATATCCAAAATGTCAGTTTGTAAATATGATTTAATAAGCTCTTCAAAGACAGAAATATCAAACGAGGAAACAAATCTCAAGTCAAAAAATTGCACTTTGATGCACCAGTAGATGTAATTTTGCATGCAAGTGTTATGAAAAGGTTAATAAAAACGTCGTCGGAT